TGTATAATGCAAAAATGTTTTCTTTTTTTAAAGCATAACATTGCGAGCATGTAAATAAAAAAGGAAGAAACTTCGCTTTTTTATTCACGAATTACGATATTTACGGTCGCGTGCCTTGGCAATTTCGTTGAGTTGCACGTTAACTAGTCCTGGCCTTGATCACTGACATATTAAGGCGAAAAGAAAGAATATGACGAGACTGGTCTCCTAAGACTTTCACGCGCATAACGGCCCGGGGTCTCCGTTTACTCGTTAAACGCCTGCTTAAAAGCAAAGTAAATGGTCAATAATGGAAACAGGACCGATGGCATTCCGATACGCTGTTCGAACGACAATTTATTCTAAACCGTTAACCTTTTTTCATTTAGCTCTTATTTAGCATCCTTTTTAATAATGGATTTGGAAAGAAATAATATTTGCATGCACTCAGCTTCGATTTTAAATGGCGTATTTCTCGGTGATTTTTAAGAATGATTTTGAGAAAAGAATTTCCTGTCCGCAGAATCGTGGAGATCTTCAGCAGACGACTTCAGCTGCAGGAACGGCTCACAAAGCAAATTGCGATAGCGGTCACAAAGGCTGTGCAGCCTGCAGGAGTAGCCGTCGTGATTGAGGGAGTGTACGTATAAAATTCTATAATATATCACAAAATTTTAATCGCTTCAATTATGAAAGACGAAGCGATCGTTTCGAAACAAATGAGACCACTTAAAAACAAAACGACCATAATGAATAATTTACAAAAAAAAAAAAAATAAATAAATAAATAAATGGATGGAACCGGAAAAAAATTAAAATTATTATAAAATAAATATAAAATTACATAATATATAACTTCCAAAATCATACAATATACATTATAATATCAGAACACATGGTAGTGTCTCAAGTTAATCACTTATTGATTAGCTTGACTGTGTATATATAGGATGATTCTTAATTATATGATGATAATTCGGTATTGCGATACCAGTTCGCCAGTTAAGACCATTTTCCTTTCAATCAACAACTCGCGGAATAGTTTTCGCAGGTGGAACGATCGCGAAGGAACACGACCTTGTATCGCCGCGCGAACGTTGTACATAATTAAAACATTCACGTAACAATCCGGTTGTTCGTTACATGACGTATGCGTGAGTACGACCAATAAATCTCGAGCGGGGGTGCACGAGTGTCACCTCAATGGTCAGCCGGGGTTATTAATCGTTTCGTATGATTAATATGAAAAACACGAGCACACCCAACATAATCGTGAATAATTCAGGAAAATCACGCCACGTGCTTCCTCAATTTACAGTTGCATTTTCTGAAGCATTAGTGACTAGTGATAATTGAAGTATCCTTTGACGAATCTTTTGAGAAACTCCACGCAAATAGTTCGTAACGCTATTGCCAAGATTTATCTTTACTCCTGGTGTATCAGGACTAGGTATTTTTGTCATCTTGTCGCGCGAGTAATGTTATTATCAGCGTTATTTTCGCGTGCACCGAAACTATTTTTATCAGCCTCCGAACGTGAATAATTCATACTTCATAGTACTGTCTTGCCGCCATCGAGCCGCCCGATTTATCCTGCGAAAGTGATAAACCGATAATTAATAACTACTAATACGACGCTATTCTCGCAAAGATCGACGCTATTCTCGTCGGTCTGCGTAAATAATTTATAAACGCGACCAACGCGACTTTTCCGCTCGACTTGTACGCGGGAATAAGCCAATTTATTCTGAAAATGATAAACTGATAAACAGAAATCGGAGCTATTACAAATCACTATGATGCGGTCGTCCTGTTGCGATATCGGGGCCTACGCGTGTTTCCCCAAGCCGGAGAACCCG